GCATTCTAATTCATTATCGAAAATTAAGACAAACAATTCTTTTTATATCATTTGAGTGTCATAATTGGATAATTTTCTTATAGAAACCACTTGAACTTACAAATCATTTTGAGATTTAACTAATTTGTTTTCGAATTTTATAGATTGACTAAGGCTTTCTGTGATCTAAATAAACGTGTGTTTATTAAAAATATGGGTGAGTAAAAAGAATTAAAATTGCAAAAAAATATATATTAGAATTATTATTATTTAATGGTTTTTAGCTGCATCACATGCTTCATCATTTCTTATATCACTTCTTATTAGTTTATTATTATTTGCATCGATGCAATTATTTCGTATTCAACTTGGATCAAGCCAACCATTGACTATTGTTGGTGGTTTTATTGGTTCATTGGTATTTATATCGCTCTTAACGGTATTGAAAAGAAGAATATCAATCTGTTAAATTTGATTTGAATCATTTTTTTTTTGTTTCTTAAAAGGCTATCAGTAATTTTGAAATGAATACTTTTGGACCAAATTATCAAGCACGAGTTTTTCCTGAAGGTTAAAAAAATTTTCGTTTTTTTTTTAACGTTTTTTTGCAAAACAATTTTTATTTTAGTTGTTATTTGTTTATTTATATCAATGATATGTTCTGCATTTGTTCATCGAGTCTGTGTAACAACATGGTAAGTTATAAACTAATGGTAGTAAGAAGAAAACAGTACAAATAATATAAGATTACTGTTTACTAATTATATAGGATTTTTCATAAACATTCATATAATATTCCATTAATGAAAATATTTTAATAATATTATCAGTATGAGATTACTATGGAAATTTGACTACAGAACTCCTGAGGTATAATGTCATGAAAAAAACATTATTCCTCAAGGACATATTAATCTGAGCTTATAGCCTAGAATTGCAAACATTATATATTATGAACTAACTAAGAGAAGCCTAGATAAATATTATAGGAAAAAAAATCGTGATTATATGTTATTCTTCTAAGCATTGACTTTTGTTCTTTCGAACAGATGTTATTAAACTTTATTGGATCTTCAATATTGCTATGCGCATTCTATATGACGAACACGATATCTACGATTATTTTATCATACATAACAACAGACAACCAAATATGTTATTAGAAGCAATACTATTAAGAGCAATATGAGAAACGTTTTAGCGCAACAGTGTGCTGTCTAAGATGACATAATTGTCATTAAAATATTGATTTATGATTTATTTCGATTGATTATTTTGATAATAATAATAAAAATTTGTCGGTATAGCCCATTTGAGGAGCCAAAGTGTGGAACTCACCAACTTTGATTATTATCAATTTATGATATATTGTCAGAGGAGTTAAAATAATGTGTAGCAAAAAAAAAATGAATAAATCAATAGATAGCAATTTTTATAGTTGATACACGCGCTCGGGAATTTTATCTTTTCGAAAATACTTGCATTTAAAAATTCTATTCCATCAATTTATTAGATCTTTATACTGAAAAAAAACTTATTTATATGATCAGATAGATCTTCAATGCATAACGTCTTTTCTTCTAATGATAATGTATACAATACATGTCATAGAAAAACGGCAAATATCATTTTATTCTTTGTGTCCTCAGTCTAATCATCATAGTATCTGGTTATATATATATATATTGATTTAATTGTTCTGTAAACTTTCGAGTACATCATCCTCTCTCTCTCTCTCTCTCTCTTGACAAACCTTGACATATATTGTTAAGTTTTTCCTAAACTTAGAATTCAATTAGTACATATTTTTATATGTCCGTCCTACTGATCAACACCAATAATAAGATCTTTTCGCTGCATTGAATACCAAAACTCGAAATGTTTACATTAATTAGAATCTACAATAGAAATCTTAGATGCATAGAATGCTTCGGAATATTCTGGAATGATCTAAGCACTGTTATTATTGACACACTTTTTCATATTGCTAGGAAAACATATTTAATGATTGTTGATCTCTCCTTCCGTTGTTATGAGGACATAACCAATAATCATTGCCCTTTCGTCTCCTACTCTCAGTTGCTAGAGCCTGAGAAAGAGACGTAAAAAGCTAAATTTAAACTTACACTAACTAATGTGAATTTCACTCGAATAACGATCTTAATTAAGAATAATTTTAATGTAAGGTATGAGTATTTTAAAAAATGAAGTAAATTTCTTTTCTTTGATCGAGCTCATCAAACTCTTCAAAACTGTATATATTGAAAATTTTTTATGATAAAAAATTCAAAAATGACTTAAAAAATATTGAAAGAAACTCGCATTTTTTTATGTGAAAGAAAAACATTTGATTTTTCAATAAATTTACCTTTTCTCACGTTTTTCATTATTTAAGAAGTTAACTTATATCATTAGGTGCATTTTTTCATGCTGCATCGATTTAGCATATTTTCAAACTTCTTAAATAATGAAAAACGTGAGAAAAGGTAAATTTATTGAAAAATCGAGTGTTTTTATTCCATATAAAAAATGCGAGTTTTTTTTGTATTGTTTTTTGAAACTTTTTTATCTTAAAAAAAATGATTTAAAAGAATTTCAATATATACAGTTTTGAAGAGCTCGATCAAACCATGTAAAAAATTTTACTCCATTTTTGAATAATTCATATCTTATGTTGATCGTACTGTTCATACTTGAAAAATTAATATATCTACTATTTCAGCTGTATTCATTGAGGAAAAAATTCTTCTCTTTTTCTTTGAGTATGAAATAAAAAAACACTTAACTAAGATAAGTGATGATTTAATATAGTTTTAAAGTCTATATAACTTTGATATGGCATATGCTTAGGAATTCTTAATGATTCTCAAGCGAAGACAATAAACAAATATGAATAAAATGACGCAGTACTATTTCTTATGTCATTTTAACATAAAAAAAAGAAAAAGATCTAAATAGATTTTGTTTTTGATTAAAAACTTTATTTATTTTAGTTTGATCTTCTCATTAATTGCACTTTATTATATAAATCGTATTTCAACAAGTGTCTATGGAAATCCAAGTGTACCAGCAACAGGTTATGCAACACAAAATTTTTCTGTCAAAAAGAAACAAAAATAAATACCATATAATAATGAGATATTCTTATCTCATATGAATTATTTCAACGATTTACATGTTATTTTATCATTCTTTATCGATTAGACATTTAGTAGAGTTTCTTTTTTTTTTTTCATCATTCGATTTATTTCTATTCAAAAGTATGTAGTAGGATTTTTCTTAATAAAATCGATGCTGGTATTATTTTTTCCTTAGTTCTATTAGCGTAATGAATTCATTGCATGTGCATGAAAAAAAAAAAGTTGCTTGTGCTTTTTCTGATTTGTTGATCTATATTTATTTATCGATTTATCTCCGAGCTTAATATTATTGCCACATTATTGACATTTCTGTATGTCGCAGACGAGGGCTTATATAGATGCAAACGCTCAATTATGCTTTCTGCCTATGAAAAAAGAAAGTCGACTTTCTTTCTTGTCATCGCGGAACTTTTTTTTTTCTCGCCTTGCCATTATGAAAAAACAATGATTTGAAACAACTGTTTCCTGAGGAAATAAAAGGCCAAAGATTGTAAGATACGAAATTAGAATAATAAAAGAATGAGATAGAATCAAAGAAGGTCATCATTATCAACAATACTAGGATAATGCTATATATCATTTATTTTTCATTCGTGCTTTTTGTAAAGTTTAGTAAGATTCATCGTTTACAAGGTATGCTGACATAGAGTAGACGTTGTTGAGAGAAAAAATATCATTGAAATAGTTATCTTCTTACGAGCAGAAGAGAGAATAATAAAAGTAAACGAGAGAACAGAGATAAAAAAAAAAAAAAAAGAAGAAACTGTTTACACGATCCTACGTAATATAAACAATGCTGAAACTATAACGAAATATTACATTTTATAGCATTCTAGATCATTGACAATAAAATTATTTTACTTGTTACCTTCATTATGTGATTAGAGTATCTCGTAATGCAGATAAAATTCTGAAAGAATTTTACACATGTACGCTGATTATAAATTATTTATAAATTCATTACATCATTTTGAGAAGGTACGTGAACAACAAAAACAACAACAAACATCTCGTTCTTCATGTCAATTACATCGTTATAATCATGAACCAGTATCATCAAATTTTCTTCGTCGTGATGTTCCACCAATTCTTATATTAGCATTTTTTCTTTTTCTTATTATAATTATTTTATCACAAATTCTTGTTGTTCATACATCACGTTATGGAATTAATTTTTCTACGATGCAAAAAAATCAAGAAGAACTTAAAGAAATGGATGCAAGTATGGAAACAATTTTACATAATAATGTTTTACCAATAAATAAATGGCGTCTTCTATTTTATATTCAAACACGTCTTTATCGTTTTCAATATTTATTTGATTTATTTAATAATCAAAATAATTTAACAAATGAAAATTTCAATCAATCAAATGAAATTTTCAAACAAGAAAATAATAATTCTCATTCAGTAAGTAATATTAAACATGCACAAAATAGATTTGAAGAATTTATTGGTGAAAATAATGATTATTCATTTCAATGGAAACGAAAAAAATTCAGATATAATTATATAGATAATCATAAAAGAAAAAATTATTGTAATGAATACCCTAGTCAATTAAGTATGTTTGAACTGCATGAGAAATATTATTTGTTTAGTGTTTCTTTTTTTGTAGAAGGTCGAATTTTTGATGAAAATTCAACATTTCCTAATGTTTCTTTATATGAAATTGAAATGAATTTTACCGATATCAAATCCGGTGGTCAATGGTCACCATCGTATTGTCTTGCTCGTCATAAGGTGATATATATATAATATTATTTTCCTTTTTTAAATCTAAACAATATTTACGTACAGTAGTTGCAAAAGATTCCGCTACCGGGTAAAAAAATCCTTTTGCTTGATACTCTGACTACAAATAGAGCTCGATAAACTCTGATTGCAAGTAGCAACCCGAGACCGATAAGTCTTAATGCAAAGAGTTTATGATGAAAAAACTGATTTTTCCCATAGGGCTCAAAAAAGGCTTTTTTGATACTTTTCTGGCTGTCCACTATTTGAATGTGTTAACCACCATTTTCTTAATAACAAATAAAGGTTCACATATCTATATTCTGTCACAGATAGGATACTTCAATTCACTGTAACCTTGAGGCGCAGAGTATTTATCATTTTTTAGAACGGCCTCACCATGGATCTCTTCTCCATTATTTTGAGGATAAACTTGATTAGATTAGAGCACTAACTGAAGAAAATTTCAAAGTAAATCGTTAAAATTAGCCGAAGATATAGGTCACTTTTCAACAACTTCTATCAACTCTCATGTGAAGATTACCCAAAGAATCCTTCATAAACCAAATCAAACTAAAACGGTTTGACATGGATCTTTTATCAATGATAAAGGCAACACTAAGCTGTCGAATGACGAGTCTAACGTCATGAGATTTGTTTTCTAGGCCGATTAAGTTCTCAATAGTTCTTGTTATCAGAATTCAACATGATCTATTTGTAGCCCAACTATGAGACTAAAAGATAAAAGTTTAAGTACTTTTTACCCCATAGCAGGACTTTTTGAGGCCACTGTAAATTAAAATTAACAAACATTTTTTATTTTGATTTGATTTAATATTAAAATAAAAATCTAAAATTTATTTTTATAATTAATTGTAGGTTGCAATCATCATTCCGTATCGAGATCGTTTTGAACATCTAGTCACATTACTATATTATTTACATCCAATATTACAACGACAAGAACTTGATTATAAAATTTATGTATCTGAACAAATAGGAAATGGAACATATAATAAAGGTGTCTTAATGAATGCTGCTTTTATATATGCATCGAATGAATATGATTTTCAATGTTTTGTCTTTCATGATGTTGATTTAATACCAGAAGATGATAGAAATATGTACTCATGTCCAATTCTTCCAAGACATATGTCTGCAGCCGTTAATGAAATGAATTATAAGTAAGAAAAATTATTGATAATTAATTATTCTTTAGATAATCATATTTTATATTAGATTGTCTTATGAAGAACTTATTGGTGGTGTATTAAATATACGTACGGAACATTTTTTAACAGTTAATGGTTATAGTAATCTTTATTGGGGTTGGGGAGCTGAAGATGATGATTTATATTATCGGTAAAGAGACGAATTTTGTATAAAAAAAATTTTTTTTTTAATGAAAAACTGATTTTCTAGATTAAAAGATGTTTCTTTGAAAGTACTTCGTCCACCATCATCTATAGCTCGATATAAAATGCTTCAACATACAAAACGTACACCGTCTGTATGGAATAAACGGTATATATTTTTTTTGGAAATTTAAAATTAACATTGCATTATCGATAAACTATGATTTTGCAATTCTAAAAGATTATTCAAGTGTCATGTAAACAATGTCAGAAGAAGAGAACATCCTTCATAGTTGATGTCATTTGCGTGAAATGAATATTTATATTGTATAACATTAGTTGAAGCAGTAATCTATAGACAAGAGATAATGCCCTGAAAACAATATTAACATATGACCTACAAAAAAAAATATATTCTTTAGTCTTCATGTGACGCTCTATCCTAGATTTCGAAGCATGAAATGAATTCGTTGATCTACAGCTGTAATATTCGACTGTTAGAATTAAAAACTTAAATAAGTAGATTATAGAGATCTTGAAAATCTATGGAAATATAGATCTTTATTGATGATTCTTTAGTCTTGGTACATCGACTAATAAACTTGATTCTGTAGTATTTCTATGATCTCTAATTATTTCGATTTATTTTTAATCTACGAATCAGTAATTACAAAAGAAAAAACATCACTGTTTGGTTTCGATTTATTGACAAAAAAAAACATTCAAATGCGATATGAGATTTTAGTAATACTAAAATCCCATTATGATTTGAATATTAAATTTAATTTGTCCATGCTGATTTTTCTTCTCTTTTTTTTTTAAAGAGCTAAATTACTTTATTCAGCAGCTAAACGTTATACATGGGATGGTGTATCATCAGCTCGATATAATATAACTTCTGCTATTGCCTATCCGTTATTTACACATATTATTGTTGATGTTGGTTTGCCACCACCTGGTTTTAGTTAATAATTAATGAAATTTTTAGTCAAAATTATATTTTATTATAACAAGGAACAAAACAGTGTCTTTTCACTTCTATTCATATTTTTTTATTTCTACAACTAGTGAAACAAACGGTGTTATTTTCAATGTCATGATGTTTATGTTTTTTTTTTTTATTTAATTACAAGTGCAATATTCAATTTAAAAAGAAAAATTCAATAGCAGGTACATCTGTATATAAAAGAAATGTATGTGTTTTTTTTTTTGTAAAACAAATCGAATGAAACAGTCATTCATTTTTTCTTGTCAAATCTTTTTTGTTCTTTTGTTTTTATTATACCTTTGTTTATCTCGCCGTCCTTCTGATTTTTTTTTATTATTTCTTTTCCTTGTCTTTTTGTTTTGAAGAGAAATATAGCGAGAAACAAAAGTTAACATATGATTGAGTTTACTTCGTTATGAAGAATTAGTACTTTTTGTCAATATTTATATTAAGATTAATTATAAAATATTCATATTTTTGTATTTCTGTTCTGTAGTGATTCCTGTTAATGATGAAGTATTATCATTTGACATAAAAAAAAAAAAAATTTAATGTTCTCTTTTATTCTATCAGCAAGTTTTATTGTTCTTTTCATTGAGATTGTCAAAAGGTAATTATTTTGTGTGTTAATTATACTGATTTACTTCATATTTTTCTAAATACAGATTATTCGATTGGAATGAAATAAATACTATTTTAAATTTTTCTTATGAAATAATTATTAGTTCATGATATGTTTCATCTAATTTATAAACTTTTAGTAAATTAATCGATATCTTTATTTGAAATTGATGCTATTTGAAGTCGATATACAATAGTAATTGTATAAACAAAAAAAAATGATGTGATTTGTAGTAAATATTTTGTTGGCATTCATTGGTTCTCATCAACTTGCTTACTATAACTACACGCATTGTGATATGTCGATTACAAATTAATAACAACTGCAAAAGCTTGCCGTCATAATCTTCAACTAAGATTGATTGACAAGAGATATATTTTCTTTCATAATCTTACAGTTCGTTGCGGTTGTATTAGTTATAATCTCATTGATAATGTCATAAGTTAGTAGAAGTCAATTTTGACGAATAAATATATATCATATAGATTTCATCGAAATCAAAATTAATTAGCTATGTTTATTAATGAATGTTAAAGAAAATTTCAATTGTTTTATGTATTTATGTCTTTTTTTTATAATAGGTATATAAAGCTCTAGAATAAACAGAAAAAAAAACAGTCTGAAATTATATTATGATCATTATAAAAGTTAGTTTACGAGATTTTATGTTTCGAAAATTATTTGTCTAGATATTAGTCATTGTTTGATATTATTCAGAAAATCAATATGATACAAGATGTTTCAAAAGTTTGAACGAAAAAAGAAATATGAATTTAATTTTATAACAGTTCAAGAAATTAACTTGAAATTTTAATGATTTTATTAGACACTACTTAAAGTTTTATTAAGTATATTTAAAATAAAATATATTTGCTTATCAATAGGTAAATTTGAGTTACTCATAATTGTAAAACGATAATTGCCATTCGAATTTTATAAGAAAACATTGCATGGAGAATTTATTAAAGATATTTTCTTATTGCTTTTGTGAAGCTAATATTGTAGTAGATCAATCATATTCTAGAAACTGTAAAGCAATGATAAATGAAAAAGGTCGATGACTTTCATGTTATTTGTAAAAGTGCACCGACATAATGTGTGTGGACTATTGCAAAAGTTTACTGGAAAAAACATATCAAATTATGATAGAACTCGTGATTCAATGGCTTCTACGTTCATAGAACTTAGTGTAGCTTGAATTTTTACTATGGGAATAATCTACGGCGCGAAAGTCTTGGTACAAATTTGTTTTTCTTATATCTTTATTAGCAAAAACCTTAGTGTTTGACAAATAATATCAAAAGAAAGTACAAATAGAGATGTTCTAAAAATTAAAATGAGCAAGTTGCATATGGTCCTTTATTAGCGATTTTTCGAAGTTGTTTTGTGATGGACGAAAACATGACTTGTACAGACTTCATATTGATTTCTTGAAGCTTTTGACTTATTCTTGTTTTCAACTAGTCAATAGTTTTTGTTTCTCAACCATTAGTGTATATTATTTTACGTTAACTAAGGACACTGTATTAACTAATTGTGGGTTCCATACATCTGATCCAAATACCACACCACCAGATGTGAAATTCAAGCGGGCTCAAAAATATTCTGCTAAGCTTTTAGTTTGGATTGCTGTATCTCAAAAAGGCGTCTTAGAACCATTTTTTGCAGAACAAAAGCGAGAAATCAATAAAACCACATATCTCACACATTGTGTCAAGGAACGTTTAATATCTTTTATTAATAGCTGTCACAAAACTGACAAGATTTTATTCTAGTCTGATTTGTCAACAAGCCATTATGCATCAAGTGTAATTGAGTTTTTAGAAGAACATCATATTGATGTAGTGCCAAAAGGAAAGAATTCTCAAAACTGTTCTCAGGCACGTCCTACTGAAACAATTTAGTAGATTTTGGATGATAACGTATACACTAATGGTTGAGAAGTAAAAACTATTGACTAGTTGAAAACAAGAATAAGTCAAAAGCTTCAAGAAATCGATATGAAGTCTGTACAAGTCATGTTTTCGTCCATCACAAAACAACTTCGAAAAATCGCTAATAAAGGACCATATGCAACTTGCTCATTTTAATTTTTAGAACATCTCTGTTTGTACTTTCTTTTGATATTATTTGTCAAACACTAAGGCTTTTGCTAATAAAGATATAAGAAAAACAAATTTGTATCAAGACTTTCGCACCGTAGATTATATGAAATACAGTATTTACCAGATGTTCATGCACGAAAAGATTCAATTAACAATTCGAATCAGTAAAAAATAAATAAAATTGTCTCAACAAAAACTATGTAATATCTTTTTTTTGCAATAATTTGAAGAGCAGACACAAGTTAAATTATTCAAAATGAAAATTTAAGGAGCGTCCAATAAAATTATATAAGTCTCCATATGCATAATTACTTGAATCGTTAAAGAGATATTCATGTTTCTTTTTAATTGTAAATTTTTATATCAATAATATGTCATTCAATTAAAAAAATAACATTCGACATGTTTATTTTAATATTATGAAACAAACTGTTTAATTATCTATGGAATATTTGAAATCAGACAAACAATATAAATTCACCTGGAAATAACCTAAGATGCATAACTATCCATACAAATATCGAGTCCTGCTTTGTTCGAATGGACAATGTTGGAAGCCGAACTTTTTCACTTATAGATAAAGCAAAGTATTTACTTTAAAATGCATATTCTGAATGAAATTTACGAAGTAGTTTAAAACATTAAATTTTAATGTTTTTAAAATCACTACAAATGACTTGTTGCTAAGATAAACATTTTCGCGTTTTTTCTCGTTATAACTTTCATTATGTTGACTAAAAAAGAACATAATAAGTTCAAACTTGGAAAGAGAAGGCCTGTAAATCAAGGTTTTCTCAAAATCGATTTTCTATTTTTCTGTGTATCTAGGGTAGTCAGTAATCAGCATTCAAAACAAAATGAGTAGATTTCACGGTTTTGTTGACAAAAGTTCTAAACACTTGTAAGAACAAATACTTTTAAAGATGTCCAAAATATTCAGCTTAATTGAGTTCTACATGAATATGTATGTAACATTAGAAAAACGAAACAAATATTGCAGACGAAATCGCACTTGGCACCAATTTCGACGTAATTAGAGGCTTCAATAACTTGGAAGAATTGCATACATTTGACTTAATCTTTGTTCCTATCACAGTTACAATATCAATCAAAGTTTTTCCTCGATTGTCCAAGTTATCTATACACATAATATTAGACACATACTCATCGCACGCAGCATTATTGTGTATTATAATAATAATGTTGATACTATGTGCATGTAGAATTTGAATAGTTAGATTATAAAAAGTTTGAATAAGATTGCTTCTCTAATTCAGAACTGGATCATCATTGATTATTGCTAATAGAGTGAGTGATCATTTGTGAAGGTTATCGGCTACAAAAAAACAATCGACTTTCAAAACAAAACCACATGTTTAGGTATACCTTCGCTCTAAATCTGAAAATGGTTAAATAGGATATTTTTCTTCTTTGCATTGGTCCTTGTGCTCTCTCAATAATATCATCAAAATAGGTCATTTTGAAATAAATACAAAATAACACGTAAATACAATATAACATGTGTATAGAAATGTAGTTGACTTTGTTACCTATGCAATGACATAAACATGTATATATTATGATACAAAAAGGAAGGAAAAATGAAATTTATTCTTGTACGCGGGAGAATCTTATGTTTTCTAAACCTTATCGCTTATAGCTATTCATGGTTGCTTATACATATCTACTTCAATGGTTTTTCTATCTTTTCTTTATAATGTAGAAAATGACGCATCAAGAAAAATGTTTCGTACAGCTAATCAATGTTGAAGTATGTATTTGAATATGTTCTTTTTTTATTGATTTTCTTCTCATAATGATTTATTTGTTGTTATCAAAGACAGATGTCTATGATTTTATTTTATTATATCAATCTCAATTTGAGTGTATAATATATAAATATATTACAATCGAAATAAAAGCAAAGTGTTTTCCTGAAAATGTTTTATGTGGTATGACGTAAATATAATAAAGCAGTAAAAGTAATAGAAAAACTTTCGTTTTCAGTTTTTTTTTTACAATTATATTTACTTTGTTATAATTATAGTTATCTCATATTAATTCTGTAGCACATTTATGGAAGAGATTTTTTTCCTTTTTTTGTTAGTTGATTGATATTTAACGAAGTATAAAATTATATATACAACAATTGTAAATGATTAGGATATTTGCTATGTGTTTTTATACGAAAAGTTATACATTTATAACGAAATAAATAATAACAAAACTTTTATAATATAATTACATTTGGAGATTTTTGTTTTAATCGATAGTAAATCTATGTTATGCTTTCGATAAATATTATTTGAAATTAGAAATAGTAATTGTGATTCCAGAAAAAAATAATTCATACTATCCATTAGGATATAATTTCAATTTTTACTAGCAAAAAATTTGAAATTGAAAATATTTTCATGAAAGACAATATACGTCTCGTTTTTTCTATACCTTTCAACAATCAATTAAATCAGTTATTTGAAAATTTTTGTAAACAATAAATTGATAAAACAGCTAAAGAATACGGTAATAATTACTTCTAGTTTAAAATACAATCTACTTAAGGATTCACATGACTGTATTACATGAATTTTTCTGACAAGGAAAAAAAAAGTTAACTCTCATCTCACAACACACGCATCATTAAAGCAACGAAGGAGAAAAAAAATTACATCATTATACGCTCTAATGCACAAGTGTGGAGAGAAAGAGAGAATACAGGTATATTTTGAAGCTATATGTTCGTAAGGTAGTTTACTGTTTCGTATCATTATACGTTACTGTATGTTTTTTATTCATCTGTCCCCAAAAATGACACCCAGTGATATTCGTCGAAAGTACGAGATAGACTTATTATTGATTTGATTTAAATCTTAAAAACTATTTCGTAACAGTTTCGTACTATTTATTTCGTTATTTATTTTTCAGTTGTTTTATTAACTAATTTTTGCATATATATCGAATGAATCAATCTAGGTCAGGACTCTAGACATTTTCTTCGAAGTAACCGAAACAAAAAAAAATTGACCGACAATTAGAGACAGTCCGACCAGCAGAAAGTGACTAAGAAAAACTCCCTTCTCAAATTTCGTCGACAGCTTAGAATTTTTGCAGACGGAATGTAACAAAGAGGGAGAAGAAGGCTAGCCTATTCCATTCCCTCTCGTATCGAGACCCAACATCTAGATATTGATATGAATATAATATTAACGTTGAATGAAAAAGTTTTTTCTTTTTTTAGTTATTTATATGCATATTACATCACCATTCTGTGGATGTATTCGTCAGTTGATATTCAGGAAAAAAAAATTTTTCATTCTGATTTTGATAATGTCAATTATTATGATAATAATCAACTATTTATTAACACAGCTTCCTTCTCTCGTAACTACTATAACTATTTCTCATTCTTTGAACATAAATTTTAAACGCCAATTATTCAATGAACGTTTATCAAGTTATAATTTATTTTACGATAATTCACTTTCTTCATGTAACACGACACGTTCATTGTCTGAAGATCGACAACGTCATTTTCATGGAATATCTCAGTTACTTCAGATATTTCAACAAAAAATAGTACCTTATCCCAACAATCATTTCTATGGTCGAGGTATTGTACTTACAGTTGGACCTAGTCAACTCAAGTTTGCCGAAGTTAATTTAAAAATGATTGAATTAACAGCAACGAAATTACCTATTCAAGTATGATTGATTGATTCAGATGTTTCCCTAATAAGCAAGATTTTTTATCATATTCTATTGATTGGTTTTTTTTTATAGATATGGTATTCGTCATCTCAAATTTCACATGAAATTATGATTGGATTACTTCGTACTGTACCTAATCTTAATGCAAGTATTTGCTGTTTTCTTATGACTGAATGTCGAACTCTGACACAAACTTGGCAATTGAATCCTACTCATGTCTATAAACCTCCTTCAAATAATCAAAAATACAAATTTTTTCCATATAAACCAGCAGCTATTGTTAGTGCTACTTTTTCTGAAGTACTATTTCTTGATTGTGATGCATATGTCACACGAGATCCAGAAGAATTATTTCTTTCTGATCCAATGTATCTCAAATTCGGTGCACTTTTTTATCCTGATGCTCACAAAAGTAGACAACATCCAGCTGTTTGGACTCTATTTAATACAAGTTGTACTCAAAATGAATATGAATTTGATAGTGCAATGATATTAGTTGATAAAAGACGAGTATGGAATGGACTTTATATGACAAAACTAATTAATGATTATTATCCAGCTTTTTATGAAGTATTCTATTATTTATTATTATTATTATTATGTTAAAAAGAATATAATATTGTATTTGAATTGTTATAGCATGTAACTGATGGAGATAAAGATACATTTCGATTGGCTTTTCGTTATATGCAAGTCAAATATTATTTAGTAATGACACCATGTGCTGTAAGTTATCAAATATTGTGATTTCATTCATCTATTTGTACTTATATTTTATGTTATCAGGCTGGTTCATTCAATAATACTCATTTTTGCGGTTTAACACTTTGTAAGACAGATAGCCTTTCACAACATATCTATGTCAAGTATACTCATTGATCATTTCATTTTCTTTTATGCATTCTATTCTTTTTATTCATCATAGTCATATTCATATATTCAAATATGAAGGTATCAAATATTCACCAATAACTTTAGGTTATACTCGTATTGGCCTTGGTGATCCCAATAACAATTCATTTTTCTTTCAACATTGTCGATTACCGGCAGCACCGACAAGCTGTTTTCATATTATGAAAAAACGTACTGAAGAAATGGCAAAAACTAATTGTTATTCCGGCAATATTCCATTGAAAGAGATTGAAAATCATGCTTATATGTTGAATGAATCATTATTATCTAAGCCATCAAAAAATAATCGAGTATTAATGAGTAAAACAAATAATTTTATGCCTAATTTTGTTGAAAATTTTCTTCGAATTCAACAACCTATACTTAATAATTAGTCAATTATAAATAATGAAATATTATTCACTAAGATAAATTTATACAAAACAAATCAAAAACAATTAATTTGTTTGCTTAATAATTCTTTTTCTATGAACTTATAAATTAATGATTGAACTAAATCATTCATTTTGATTTGAATTTTTCGATAAAATAAAAAGATATCGTTCGGTAAAAGAAACTGTTCATCAACTTGATAGATCTATGATTATATAAAAAATTTTTTAAGTCTATCTCTTTCATATATATGATCAGAAATCTCAATGACATATGTCGTATCGAACAAGTAGTTATTACTATTATTCATATGATCAAAAAAATAATAATAACAAACATTGGATTACTCGAAGCAATTATAAATATAGAAAAGTCTGAATTTATGATCTATGCCAGAGATTTCAACGGGCTTGACTTGAGAAATTTAGGTGATGGATTATCGATCTTTGATCTTGTCCACCTATGGGTCACTCATCCAGTTGCATTGGGTAAATTTTTAATACACGAATGAGAAACCATATTTCAACTACCAGTAGGGGGTGTATAAACGAATATTCGGTAATATATTTGACAATTTGCAAAAGGTTCAATTCTTTCGAATTCATAGGTGTTTTCTCAATTTTTTAGTTGCAGCAATCAAAAACTTTCCAATATAAAGATGTGTTTTACTTTTTTATTTTTAATAATAGCATATGTCAATAGTTGTTGTTTAAAAAGTATTTTGATCTATTCATATATGTTATGGCCAAAGTTGGAACTTAGCTCAATTCAGAATTGGTCCAAAATTTTTGGTCGAATTCTGAATTGGACTAAATTTTGCCTGGACAAATTTAGAATTCGACCAGCAGTTTTGGACCAATTCTGAATTAGGCTGAATTCCAGCTTCGCCCACAACATATATATATATATATACAATTTTGTACGTAATGATAGAACACTATCGATAGTTAAAGAAAAATTGTTAACAAAAACTGATGCTTGAAAAGGTTTAGTAGGAAGATGATTAGAATTACAATAAGTAATTGATGATGAACAAGAAGAGCTAAGCAACGACATTTCCTTGAATATAAAGAAAGTTTTCTAAGGTGATGACAATTTTGTTTTACTATATATATATATTTGTTGCTTATTGCAGAAATGTTTTAGTCAATGGCTATTCATGGTAATATTAAATCAGTTCGGCTCAGTTCATTGAGATCTCTGATCTGTGTATAGTGGCCGATAACCACACATAATGTCATTTGAAACTGTGCATAACATACAAAAAATTCTTTTTATTTCTAACATCTAAAATAATATCAGTATCTGTTACTATATTTGTTTATAAATAGTTACTTTGATAATAATAAACCTCTATATAATATTTTAAAATTTCTTCTGATCACAAAAACAAAATCTATAAGACATAGGCTTTCATTTAATATTTCGTTTAGTTTCTTTTGAATATTTTCATTAGATATCCGTCATTTATTGTTTGATATGTGGAAAATCAGATAGATTGTATTGTCAACAAAACTAGATTGTGATAATTATATTATTGAAACAAAGTCCTATATCGATTGCGAGTATTAGATTTTATATTAACATTAATTCTTTAATTTTTCAATAGATATTTTACCTTGATGAATAAGGAAAAATTCCGATTTTCTTATTGATTTATAGTTAAATTCAATTCAAACAGATAATGTGGTGTTTAAATTCTATGAAAATCATTTGTTATCTAAATCTCATATCTTTTGTTATTATCATCGTATTTATTATCAAAAATTTAAAAAAAAAATGTTTTTTTTCCTCGTGTTGTTAATTTAACGAAGTCATGTTCTCGAAATTCAACATTTCGCGATGAATCAATTAATTCAGTTTTAACAAGTTATTCACATATGCAAAACAATTCACTTGATCAACGTAAAACAATATATCTGTTAACTGCAGATCAAAAACTTTAAACCTATTAAACTACATACACAAATAATACCTTATTCGTATGCATATTTTCATGGTCGAGGAATCGTTCTTACTACTGGATTCGGACAATTAAAGTTTGCAGAGGTCAGTTTAAAAATGCTCGAACTGATAAGTACTCGATTACCGATACAGGTAATTTTCATTAATATATATTGCTGTTTTCGATAAAGAAATTTTATACGAAAAACAATACCCAATTTGTTCTTACATCTTATTAAACTTTTATAAGTAATTAACGAATTAATCAAATTTTTTATTAGACAACAGAATGTATTTTTTTATCTCAACTCAAAAATTAAAGATTTTAACTGCTATTTTCCTTTCTCATAAATATGGTGTTCATATTTACAAATTTTACATGAAACTATGATTGAATTATTTCATATTGTACCTAATCTTAGTGCAAGTGTATGCTATTTTCTTACGACTCAATGTTGAACTCTGACACAAATCTAGCAATTGAATCCTACTCATGTCTATAAACCTCCTTCAAATAATCAAAAATACAAATTTTTTCCATATAAACCAGCAGCTATTGTTAGTGCTACTTTTTCTGAAGTACTATTTCTTTTTAATCCAACTTTTCTCAAATTCGGTGCACTTTTTTATCCTGATGCTCACAAAAGTAGACAACATCCAGCTGTTTGGACTCTATTTAATACAAGTTGTACTCAACATGAATATGAATTTGATAGTGCAATGATATTAGTTGATAAAAGACGAGTATGGAATGGACTTTATTTGACAAAACTAATTCATGATTATTATCAAGTCTTTTATCACGTATTCTATTATTTATTATTATTATTATGTTAAGAAGAATATAATATTGTATTTGAATTGTTATAGCATGTAACTGATGGAGATAAAGATACATTTCGATTAATTTTTCGTTATATGCAAATCAAATATTATTTAGTAATGATACCATGTTCTGTAAGTTATCAAATACTATGATTTCATCTATCCACTTGTTCTTATATTTTATGTCATCAGACTGGTTCATTCAATAATACTCATTTTTGTGGTTTAACACTTTGTAAGACAGATAGTCTTTCACAACATATCTATGTCAAGTATACTTATTGATCATTTCATTTTCTTTTATGCATTCTATTCTTTTTATTCATCGTAGTCGTATTCATTTATTCAAATATGAAAATATTAGATATTCACCAATGACTTTAAGTTATACTCGCATTGATCTTAGTGACTCTAACAATAATTCATTTTTTTTTTCAACATTATCAATTAAATACTGGACTAACAAGTTGTTTTAATATCTTAAAAAAAACGTAATGAAGAAATGACACAAGACAATTGTTATTATGATAATATTTCATTGGAAGAGATTGAAGATCATCCTTATATGTTGAATGAATCATTAGTATCAGAGAAATCCAACAACAGTCGAGTGTTGATGAAGAGAACAAATAATATTATGTCTCATTTCGTCGAAAATTTGATCAAATACTTAAAATGAATTTCTTCTCTCGAAAAAATTCAAAACAAGTAAAATATTCACCAAACTACAAATATAAATCCATGAAAGAATTAGAGAAAATCAATTAGAGTTAAAATCGTTTGAATTTTGCATCATTCTATTCCTATCATAAGGATAAATAAAAAAAACGAATTAAAATACTGTGAACAATAAAAATATGTTGTTAGAATGATTGTAAATAAACGCATGTTCTAAGATATGCCACCTGCCTTTTTTCTTCTTTCACTTAATCGCTACATATCCACGAGCGTTACTTCTATTGTTTGTCAAGCGCGTTCAAACAAAAAAACTGATGATGCGAGGCACAGTTAACATCACACTCCACCGTTGATTTCCTGTATGTGCGGGTTTTTTATGTTTCATTGATCATCTTCCTCTTTTATTTCTTCTTCACTATGAAAACTTTGTCACCGGAACTTGCTAATTATTCGTTCATCTGCGTTAAACGAAATACAATTTTTCGATTCTCTAATTGGAACGATAGTCTGATCATAAATAATAACATCGGCGGCATCGTCTAAATAACCTTTTCTGCTATTGTATTATGTTCTAACAAAAGAAGAAAAGTAGCAAAACAAATAGTTAGCTTTGCTCGAATGCATTTACTGATGATAATGAACATCTTTGGAAACAATCATCTGTTGAAATCATTGATTTGGATAAAAAAAAACCTAGAAATTATTAATCGACACAGCCGCTCAACATTTTTCTTTATAATCAATAAAGCAACACAACAAAGACAATTTCGACATTCTTTCATCTTGATTTCTATTCATATAAAATGCTGTTAAAGTAAGAAGACAAGACGCCGGTGATTTGTCTTCACATTGATCAAACTTCCGTTTTTGGTTTTTTCTTTTATACTTTTTCACTTGACCATAAATGAACAACAGAGACACATCTTCTCCATCATAAAACAAAAAAAAAAAAGAACTCCAATTAGATGAAAAATTTAGAAGAAAAAAAAAAGTGCGTGATAAATAGTTAAAATGTTGTTTAATAGATGATGACTTTTAGTAGATCGCACATCCTTTGATCTATAAGTGTTTAACTAAAGAAGAATGACCACGCAATAACAATGAGGAAAAAAAATTAATCAGTGTTGACGAAGACGACAACAGACGTAAGATGGATCGAAATATGTACGTGCTTTTCATTGTAGACAAAAAGTGTCAGCTAATGTTTAGATAAAGAGTAAAAGAGAAACGAAGAACAAATGAATTAATTACTCTCGAATTTTGTTTTTTATTTTCCAATATTGACAAAGTTTAGTGATAAAATATTGACGAGAAATTTTATATAAGACTATCTCGAAGGATAAACTTTATTCTATTATGTTGTTATTCAATCTGATTTAATAGAAAAACTATTGATTGATGTGTTAACAAGAGAAAAAAAAAGTAGCCACTGTCATCGTTTCTTCCTCTCTCTTTCTGTACATGTTTTCCGTTTGAATAAGAAAGAGATGAAGAAAAAAAGAGAGAAGAAGGAAGAGAAAGTGTTAATGAACAGTTTTGTGATTGTTTTCTCTTGTGTTGAATGATGTTGAATAGAAAAGAATTGTTCACAAATGAAAATTTATTCATAGATATTAATTGAGACGTGTTTACTAAAATATAAAGAAGAAAAAAAAAGAAATGTTAATTTATAATTGTATATTATTATTTATTATTATAAAAAATAGTTTATTAACAACATTAACAAAAACTTATCCAACAATTGATTTAAAAGAAAATATTCCAATAAATACAAATATTTTAGAATTAACAAATGAAATAAAAGATTTAAAATTAGTTTTATTAAATTTAGGTGGATTTGAAACAAATTTATTTACAATAAAAGATCAAAATTTATTTACAATAAATGAAATTGATCGGGAAAAATTAATAGGTGAAAAAAAATGTTTTGATCGTTCATATTGTTTAATTGAACTTCATATACTTGTTAATGATGGTGAACAATATTGGGTTATACCAATACATATTATTGAGTAAGTTCTTTTTTCTTTTTTATTATTTTATTTATACAATAAGTCTTTAATGAATTTCTACACAAATCATCCGAAAAAATCTTATTTTATTCTTGAGATATGGAAGCTTTTCTAAGATTTCTAATTGTCAAAAAAAGTACATTTTTTTTACAACTATTTATGTGAGTTATATCTCAACATAAATATATTCGTTTGGCTTGAAATTGTCAGTGTGAATACACTTGAGATTTGAGTATCTATTATAAAAACATTATCATTTTTTCCTTGTTTTGTGCATATAGATATTTAATGAATGAGTCTTATTAAAAAGTTGAAATTTTGGTTAGAGAGAGATCTGGATGAGTACTTATTCTAGTAGAAATTTTAGTCTTCTCGGTAGCTCCTTCAACTCAGAAGATATTTTCGTCAAAATTGTCATTGTGCTCAAGATCATGATTTTCGATAGAACTGATCTAGAAGTGTTGTAGAATAGTTTATGAAGTCTTATCAAATAGAAATTCTAAGATGGTTCTTTTTTTCATGCTGCATATATTCAAATCTTGAAGGTGGGTATATGTGTGTGTGTGTGTGTGTGTGTGGATGTAAGGGAGAGTATGAACTTTTAACACATCTACATCCTCAACAAGCTATATATGACAATTAATAAAAAATCATATATACTGATTTATACTTGATAAGAAATCGTTTCATATGTTGAAACTTTTCTGATAAATTCTTAACTATCTGAGTATATAAAGCATGAAAAAGAAGTCATATTGAGATTCTCTTTTAGTAAGGTTGTTCAGACTACTCTATGAAGTCCTAGGTGGATTATTACAAGACTTTATAGTATTCAGTATGTAGTTTAAAATCATACAACTATGATTTATATAGATGATATTTTCCATTAGATTGATTTCTTTTAAAATCATGATTTTAATGAAGGTTTTCTGGACAACAGAAACTATTTAGAAAGTTGAAATTTTTATTCTTTTTTTCAGATCAAAATTTCAACTTTTTAATATGATTCATTCATGAAATATGTATTTACTTGAGAGTATTAATTAACTCATTAATAGTTTATCGATTTAAGATTATTTTTCATGATAGATATTTATATCTCAGATTTATTCATATTGAAAATTTCAAGTCAAATAAAGATATTCATGATAAGATATAAATGTCACAAAAAATCACAATAAAAAAAGAGAAATATATTTCTTTGACAATAGTAATCTTCTATATATCTGAAGAGTAAAACAATATGTTTTTTTGAGTGACTTTCATAAAATTTCATGAAATACTTGTTACTATATTGAACAAGTTTAAAGAAAGTTAATTGTAATTTACATGAAATGATTTATATTGATAATGAAAATATTTTTTATTTTTTAATTTGAAGTGAAAATGATAATAAACCAGAATTTCGAAATTCCTCAATAGAATTAAAATTTCGTGAAAATATATTTGGTGGATATAAAATATTATTTGAAGGTGCAAAAGATTTAGATGAAGGTTTAAATGGTAAAATCGATTATATTCTTGATTGTTCAAAAAAAAAAGAAAAATTAATAATAAAAGAAAATAAAAATAAAACATTAATAAATTGTTTACCATTATTTGAATTTGAAATAATATCAAAATCATTATTATTAAATCAATATGATCAATTAGCATTAAAATATAATTCATTAATAAAAAATGAATATATTGAAAATGAATATAATTTAATTTTATATGCAATTAATTATAATTTAATTAATAATAATGAATTATTTAATTTAATGAATATAAATATTAAAATTGAAAAAATATTAAAAAAACCAAAATTTGATTTATTTGAATATAAATTTATAATAAAAATAAAATCATTTTTAAAAAATGGAACAATATTAGGTAATGTTAATGCAAAATCAAATGATAAAAAAAATAAAATTTTATATAAATTAATAAATAAAACAAATTTTATTGAAATAAATTCTTTAACAGGTGAATTATTTATATCAAATGAAAATTTTTTATTAAATAATAATTATTTAAATAATAATATAAATTTATTAATTGAAGGATTTTATTTAAATAATAAATATTTAAATTGTTTTACTAATGTTAAAATATATTTTCGTTTAATAAATTACATTAATAATATTTCATATTATTTTAATATTCAATCATTATTTATTAAACAATTAAATAATTCAAATCAATTTTTTATTTATAAAAATATTTCAATAAATGAAATTTTATTTCAAATAAATCTTTTTTCTTTTTATTATCCATTTGATAAATATATTCTTTTACTTGATGATAATTATTATTCAACATTTTCACTTATTTCTTCTCCTTTAATAAATAATTTTATTTTAAAAATTTCAAATTATCTTTCTTCAAAATTAATTTATTTATTAAATATTCGAATAAAACATGAATTAACTCAAGAATGGTTATCAACAAATATAACAATTCAATTTATTCTTATTGATCAATTAACAACTATTTCTAATTTTATTCAACCATCTTTACCTTCATCTTCATCTTTAACTTCATCTTTAACTTCATCTTTATTAAATATTTGTTTAGAAAATTCAACTTATTTTCTTTATGATTTTTATAATAAAAATCAAATTGGAAAATTAAAAGTTATTGAAACAAATTTAAATATTTCAATTTTTTCAAATTATTTAATTTTAATTAATAAAAATGAAATAGTTATTAATCAATGTCGAATGTTAATTGATCAATTTAATTTAAATTATTTAAATCAAACTCAATATGAATTATGTTCATTTGATTATTTTTGTTTTAATATAACATTAATTAATCAACAACAATTTTCGTTTTTTTCAATTAAAAATAAAAATAAAAATTTTATTTTAAAATCAATTTTATCAATTCGACCTATTGAAATAACAATTTTTACTTTTTCACTTATATTTATTATGGCAACAATAACATTAATATTAATTATTTGTCGATTAAAAGGTTTTCATCTTTGTTTATCAATTAAAAATTATTTATTTTATGGAAAAAAATATGGTTTAAATAATGCTCAACGTCTTTCATCAACAAAAATGACAGTAAGAGTTAATCAAAATTCTTATTTTATCAAACACTATCTAAGAACAACTTGAAAGTAGAAAGGTAGAAATTTGGACTCGTTCTTCGTCTCTCCGACAGATGTAACTATAGGAACATCATAGACATTGACAATATCAATAGCGTTTCATTATAATTTATATGATCTAGTTCCGTCTTGCATTTCCGAAAGATTAAGTAAAAGGATGACAAAGTAATATGTCTCACATTAGATAGAATAAAACAATTTTATTGTGATTAACAACATCGTATTTCATATTTTAATCTGACAGAGTAGATCCAATTGGAGGTTGATCTCGAATCCGATCAAGATCAGATTCAGAAATTTTGAATTTGCAGGTTCTATCAGAGGGATTGTGCTAACAACATTGTTTTCTTCTTTACACGATGTCATTATTTTGATTATGATTTGTTTAGCAAAGAGTTCATTCAATTGTTGTTCGAGAATCTCGATCACCTTCTTTTGAACATATTGAATCTAGTAAGTCATTTCATTTTGTAAGTTGATTATTGCGAAGAAATATTTTTTTTTTCTAGAACCATATATATTTAATTTTAATCAAGTTAGTGACCAAGATACAATTCCATCAATAAATATATATTCTCAATCATCTCCTCATTTACCAATATCATTATCTTCTACATCATCAATTCAACAAGAAGAAAGAACAATATCAAATGTTGATAATGAAATAACACCTCGAACATCATCATCATCATCATTTATACATGAGACAAAACATTTATTAGATATTATGTCAATAAATCAGGATTTACATATGTCAACATTAGCTTCTGAAGTTTAATATGTACATTTTTACGTAACAGTTGTGTTTTCTTTTTTTTCTTCATGTTGTGGTGTTTTTTGACTCAGTGCTTTTTTGTTTGTGTTTTTGATAATTAAAATATAAGAGCCATTGGAAGTGTTGTAAAAATCGTTTTTAAATAAAAAGAATATTAAAATCGATATAACAAATAAAGGAAAATGAGTGAGTCGTAGAATGAATTAAATGATTAATTTCATAGTTTCTAAAATTTATTTTTGATGTAAAGAAGAATAGATGAATATTATGTCATTTATAGAACAATCTTAAATGAAAATAGTTAAAGTAATATGATAGAAGTTGCCACTTTGATTATGGTTAAAATAATTGAACCAGCAACTTTTAAAATTGGTGCACATTCTTTAAGTCGAGTTGACCATGTATTTTTCTTTGCAAGTGCTGCTCGATGACGTTGTGATTGTTTAATTAGAACTACAGTGAGCGCAGTTGAACTTCCAATTGCAACAATAGTTAAAAAAACGATAACAATTATTTTCGCACTATTTCGTTCAAAGCATGAAACTTCATCATGATATCGATCATCATCATCATCATCAGCAACCATATTTCTATTTATTTGACTCATTTGAAAGATAACAGAAAGATAAATAAAAACACAAATGATTTTTTTTCTTCTTAAACTAATAATAATGAGAAATAAGTTAATATTTTTATCGCGCGGGTTTTTATTAAAAAAAGAAACAAATTTTTAGAAAATCATTTTTTTTTCCTAATTTATATTTATCGATCAAAAAGTGTTTCAGCTATATCTGTAAATAATTCTTTAAATATTGTTGCAATTGAACCTTTGTGTGCTTTTATCCATTTATAGACAATACCATCTTTCATAATTATATCTAAAACTTTATTTGCAACATGATGTTTACGTTTAAATTCATTTTTAATATGTTGACGTTTACGATCACGTTCTGCTTGTTTATGTAAAGTATATATTAATAGAATTGAAGTTATCAGTAGAATAAGTGAGAGAAGACTATTGATTATTATAAACCAATATCGAGTACAACATGATGAATTTTCATGATTATCATTCATCCTTTTTTTATTATGATTTTCATCTGATGATATTGTAGAGATAATACTTGTATCACTCATTACTTGTTATATGCTAATCTATAAATTAACAGAAATTGGAAGTCAACTATTTTCAATGAACAAAATGAAGGTAACTAAGACAATAAAAAGGCACAGAAAACATGATAGTATTAACTCTTACCATGAAAAATAGATGAAGTAAAATATTCAGAACCAGTTTGATAATTTTTTATCTATTAAAATTATTTTCTGTTTATTTTTCTTTCATTGCTACTTTGTTTCTTCTTCATTTTATTCTTTTGTTTTTCTCTCTATTATGTTTAATTTTATTTGCTTTATTGCTAAAGAAATCAGAGACAATGATCAAAATTGAACTACAGAGTGTTCCAAAAGTTCACCGAAAAAAAAAAGAAATTCGTATTTATTCTACTATTTATCAAACTTAATCAACTATTTTTTATTCAAATGATAGATATCACTGTGAAGTTTTTATTTCTACAGACAAACTTCACCAATACGATTCAAAGTTATTACTTTCGACTGAAATACAAAAATCAGTCTTTTTTTCGATGAAAAAAAAAACACTGCGAAGTGCTTCGTCTCGATTAATACTTCAATTTATTGTGTTTTTTTGTGGCCAGATCTTGCACAATCGTTTATATGCATTTGTTTTGATGTGTCACTGCAAAAAGAAGCCTAATGATGTTAAGTCCAATGATAATGAAGTCGATAAAATCATTTTAACTTTTCGATCAATGACTGATGAACTGGAGAAGATGAACTGATTTCGCGATCTTCATAATCATTGAACTTGACATCATTAGGCTTCTTTTTGCAGTGACACATCAAAACAAATGCATATAAACGATTGTGCAAGATCTGGCCGCAAAAAAAAACACAATAAATTGAAGTATTAATAGAGAAGAAGCATTGCGCAGTATTTTTTTTTTTGTCGAAAAAAAGACTGATTTTTGTATTTCAGTCGAAAGTAATGACTTTGAATCGTATTGGTGAAGTTTGTCTGTAGAAATAAAAACTTCACAGTGATATCTATCATTTGAATAAAAAATAGTTGATTAAGTTTGATAAATAGTAGAATAAATACGAATTTTTGGAAATCTTGTAAAAATTGTTGTACTTATAAATGTAGTTGTAATTGTCATTACAGGTTTTCTTGTTAATGAACTATGATAATTTTCGAGTTGAGATACTGCTAAGAATGTCTTGTTGATTCGGTTGAATAAGTGATTTTTCTTTTCGTTGCGTTTGTTTTCATTTATTTAGTCATAGCTAAATATCATCGAACTAATAGGCTCCTACTGTAATGATATTCAACGTCAGGAACTTTTCTAATGCATCTATCTGCTATGTAATATATTGAATTGAATTTTTATGAATAGATTTATAACAATACACCGACTTATGAATTCTTCATGAGTACATTATCTACTAGTGGGTTCATAAACATTCTTATAAAGAGAAGATATTTATAAAATTGATCGGTAGCGAATACTGCATGTTATCTGTTTTAATAAACACATAAAAGTTAAGAGATCTTTAAAACTGTATTATTCTGAATGTGATTTAAATCAATCGATTTATTTTTCAGTCAGATATTAATGTATCAACAATCAATGATTTTATTTTCAATTAAGTATTGATTTATCAATGTAAAAGAAGAAATACAGTATCAAAAGAGAGTAGATCTACTAACGTTTCTTTTGCAACTAGTTTGATAATTCGCTTTTTTTAACAACGAAAACAAAAGGAATAATCATATAAAAATAGCGCACAATTTTATAAATGTTCCTATTTATTGAGACCATGATGATTTCTTATTTCTCCTTTTTTGCAATGTTCTTTTTCAATTTTTATTGTTATTTCAATAGGATAATAAGTACAAAGAAGAATTATTTTTATATTGCTCTATTAAGAGTATATCCAAAAAAAAACATATATATATAGAAAACTCATCAAAATAAAAATGTTTTAAAAAGAGTGTTTCATATCACATTAACGTTCTTTGTTTTCTCAAGAAATCAAAGAAACGATCAAACCAAGTGTCATTTTGTTTTTCGTGATTCGTTAAAAAACTATACCAATAGAAAATATAATTTGAAGAAAAAGAGAATATTCGTGAATTCATATGTCGCACACATTTTCTCTTCGAAGTTTCATATTTAAATTTATTTCTAAAGTATTTACTTGACAAACGTATTAAAGACATTTTATTAACATAAAGTTATCAAAGTTTTAATAGAATAATTGAGATAAGAATATGAAATATATAATAACACATCGATTGAATACTGTCTGTTGAAATTTCTTTTTCAACATTCATCTGACATAAAACAATCGATTAGGAACAGTGAATTAAACATTCCACTACCGTTTTTCATTAAGAATTCTTATTAATCAATTGAAGTTTATCTAAAATAAAAGATTGATGTCATTCTTTCTTTTATACAGATAGAAACATTTGCATGTAAAACTATTTATTTGGCAGGTTTATTTCTATTCAACAAACAAATAATAAAAAAAACCAAATACATTTTTTTTTATAAAAAGAAAACACGCGACATTATAAAGTTTCGTTTTCATTTGAATTTGATTATGCTTCTTTTCGTTGTTTTGCCTTTTTCATATAACTTTGTAAATAAAAATTAGAAAAAAGTAACAATATAGATATACCATAGAGTAAGAATGAAATATCAAAAACTTTTGGAAAATTACATGGCGTAAATAAATTAATACTTGAATGACCAATTACAGCAACAAATTGAATCTATTTAAAATAATATAAGTAATATATTTATAAATAAAATCATAATAAGAAACTTACAATTTGAGCTTGTGTTAAATAACGTTTCCACCAAAGATATTTTTGTATATGAGATCCACAAGCACTTAAACCATAATAAGCATACATAACAACATGAATAAAAGAATTTAAAATCACAATAAACAATGCTAAAGTAAAAAAACAAATATAAACACTTAAATAATCTAAAAACTTTTTAAAAATACATATTTTCTTTTATCATTAGTACTACTTACATTGACCACCTCCAACATATTTTACTCCATACCATCCAAAGAATAGCATTGTAAGATGATGATAAACATGTAAAAATGTTATTTGATTATCTTTTTTTCGTAATACAAATATAATCTAATCATAAAACAATATGAAGAATTGTTCATTTTTCTTTTCATTCATTTTTTCAACTTACTGTGTCAATCAAATCGACTATTTTCATAATATAATACCACCAACATGCTTCACATGCCTTTAAAAAAAAAACCAGAACAATTATTTTCCTATATTATTCCAAATTCGATTTAATAGGAAAAAAATAATAATTTAAATGATAGAAAAAATAGTCTGACATTTCACATGATTCGTTTATTGATAAATTTATTTCAATATAATAATAAAAATTCAAACTTGTTTGCCTTACTCGAATAGCAGTCATACGATTTGAATAATCAACAGGTTGACATAGAAAACTGTATCTATCTTTAAACCATACATATGTTGACTAAATATAAAATATACTTTTTCAAGAAATTTATTTTACATTTTCATACTTCATAAGTTATATAAGCACAAATGATCACTTGTAAAATATTATAAATAAACATAAAATTTCGTAATTTAAAAGGCTTTTGATTTTTCATCCATTTTCGTCCAAAAATAATAGCACAAACATAGGCAATAGCTATCACAAGTGTTGGAGAAACATCTTTCATCAGAAGCCAATTGTTAACACGTACATCTGGATACAAATTTTAATGTTAATTAGAAAAAAAAAAACAGATTTTTTGAATATATAATAGACTTGCCTCCATCTTCTGGTAAAGTAGTAAAAAGACCCATTGTCACTATTTGTTCAGTATCAACTTACAAATCCAATGTATAAAAATGAATTTTTTCATTATTCTTAATACATGTATGTGCATGAATGTTTTTTATGTAACTGTAGTGACAAAAGGAAGAAAAAAATGTCTGCGAATGATTTGAATACGAAAGTAGAAGTAATTTTTTTTTTCTCTTTCAATAAGAATTTTGAACTCAATGAGAGAGGATACTTCAGCAAAAATGAAAGAAAAACGTATCAAGATATGTTACAGATTATTTCCGTTATTCAATCAATTACTTTCATTTTCAAGAAATTATTCATTTTTATTAATGTAAACAAAAAAAAAATAAAGATAGACATTACAACATGGACGGATTATTAAATATAAATTGAATTGAATTATTTTAATATTTTTTTCCCATACGTGTATTTCCAGCATCAAATTTAAGTGAATGTACACTTGCAAAACTATCATAACCAGCTAAAATAACACATTTAAAATGACGAACTTCTGTTAAACGATCTAATGTATATTCATTTATTTGAAGATTATTCTCATTATTTGGTAAAGCTAAAAATATTATTTTTCAAATATTAACAAATATTCAACTTAAAATTACTTTTTTCAAGAATAGTATCAAAATTTCTTGGTTCTGCATTACTCGTAGTAAACATAACAAAACGTTTGACTAAAATTATACAAAAAAAAAAGCATTAAATAATAGTTTATAATTAATAGAAAAACAAAATATTTTTTTTTTCATTTTTTTTACCATTTGTTGTTACAAATCGTAATTGTCGAAATTCAATGGGTTCTTTGAATGTAATAATAAATTCTTGTGGATATAAACCTGTTGTCATCCAAAACACTTTATCACTTCTAATAAAAGAAACACATGAGAATCGGCTAATACCAATGATAAAACTTTCAACTCTCCATATTCTCTGTAAATATGATTCGTAGTAGCTTATGTATTGAAATTAGGATGATAATAAGCAAGACAATCTCGTAGAGTGAATCAACAATTTCAATAAAAATCCAGATATTTTAAAATCTATTTTATTATTTCTGTACAAGACAAACTCTGCAAATAATGATAAATTCATGACTTTTGCTTCACTAACAGTTACTCGTACTACACTTTTTTTCTCAATGTCACTTCTTGAAAAATTTATTAATCAGAAAAATAACATATACTACATTAAATTTAATTGTAGACGTTACCCTGACCCTGTTGCTTTTCATTGATATCTCTCAACATTTACATCGCTCCGAATGAAATTTTTTTCAAATTGCTGTGAGATTGATCAACAAAGATTGTCTCATTTATTTCTAAAACTTAAAGATAATTTTAGTTAACTATTGAGTACAGTTTTCAAAATTGTCGGTATACCTAATCGGTGTGAAAAGTGAGACTTGAGTAATTCGAAGTATGATACTTCACTCTTACTTTTTCTCTCTTACATATAACTCTTTGAATATTACATAAAGTGGTGAACAAAATTTTAGAGCACTTTTTATTTCATGATTTTTTCCTATGAAAGATAGCTTGCGGAGGACAATTAAATAATGATTTCGATAGCTCTCGAAACGAGCTGCAAGTCTATGAAGTCAAAATTCTATAAGGCATATTACTCGAGTATTAATGACAGAAACTACTTTTTCCCCAGAGGACAAAAATTTAGAGCACTTTTAAAATTTTTTAATATTTTATTTATTTTTTGCTTTTAAAGATTTATTAAAAACTCTTTTTCGGTGCTAGTCGATGCAGAATTGAATGGGTTATATTCTGGTAATAAGTAGTTTTGAATATTATTAGTTCTGATTAATTAACATTAATTATATTTAATTAATATTAATTAATAAATATAGAAAAATTTTGTTTTAATTTTCAACTTTTAGGTACATCATTCAAAAGAGCATTAAAAACTGAACAAAACGGTATATTAATTTTATCGAGATAATTCATTTTAGTAAGATTGTTAGAGCAACTTACAATTTAGCAAAGTCTGTATAGATAAAACTGAAAACTAAAACAAAGAAATTTTTTAAAAGCTGCACTCAACAGTTTGCTAAAGTTATGTTTGGTTTTAAAAATAAGCGAGACAATATTTGTTGAACAATAAAGATAAATTTATATAGAATTTCATAATGATTTTCAAATATTGGTTCAAAATAGTGAAAACAATAGATATCAATGAAAAGCGCTCTTTTATATGATTTATCTGACACCAATAACAATTGCCAATGTGAAACTAGCTCCTTGGAAGTCTCAATGAGTTGAAAATGATGAAAATAAATAAATAAATAAAAACAGCCGATGCATCGGAAGTTTTGAGACAAAATGTTTTCAAACATTTAGTTAGAATCAGAATTTAGTGCTCTTTCAGAATTTCGGCGAGATTTATAAGTTAGAAGTTATGAATGAATCTTTGAAAGATTTGAACATAAAATTCGGGCACGAATAGTTACACTAGCAGATCTAGAGATGAAGAACATAAGCGTATCCCATCTGAAATTAATTTCATGCTGTTTTCAAACACCTTTTCTCGGCGCTCTCGTATTTCTATCATAAAGATACCCATTCTCTTTGTCTTTTTTCTTTTTGATTGACTACATCTCGTTTTGAAAATATTTTTGGATCAGCCATCTGTACTAAAGACATCTTACTTAGTAACAATGTGATCTTATTTCACATCTTCTATTAACTATTTTTTTACACAGAAATATAGGCAAAACTGTCCTCTAAAAAGATAGCTAAGGACCAAGAATGTAGCATGTTGATCGATTATCGTGTAGACGAATAATGATTATGATATCATTTTGTAGAGAAATGTTTACTCTTTCGTTTGGTATATTTCTAATATATTTTACTTCTACATTGGATGACTTATTGTGCACTGAGAGAGTCATCCAAACATTATTTTCAGATCTATCAAAGATTCGCTCATATAATTCCTAATCTATGAATTCCATCAAAATTCGAGAAAAGCACAAAATTTCGTTTCTAATCCAATAATTGAAAATTTCTATCTATCGAAGTTATTCGAAAAATATTTTCATTTAAAATGAATAAAAATTGTATTTATTTCTTGAATATTTTGAAAGCGAATAATACTTACGGATCAAGAATATTACTCGGTGGATAATCTTGATCGGCACTAGTAGACATTGACACAACAGCATTTGAATCTGCAAGTGTCATCTTCAAAAGAAAAACAAAAAAAAAAGAAAAGCTTGTTAATCAAATTTAACTTTCTTTTAACATTCTTTTTTTTTCTTGTTTATTTCAATAAAAATGGCAAATACGTCACAATACATGAAACTTAATGATCTTTTGATCTTGATGATTTTCAAAAAAACAAAAACAAAAACCAGCAGTTGAAATTATTCAACAATATAAACCAAAATGTTGCCAATATCTTGTTCACCTAAAGCCACTGTACCATGATTTAAATCAATTTTTAAAGTTTGATTTTTATTTTCAAATTCTATAAGACCATGTAATGGTGTTGCTATATTGGGTAATGTTCGTGTATAAAATTCCCAATTTTGATAATAAAATATACGAATCTTTTTACTTAATTTTAATTGTCGATCACCTTGTCGTCGTAAACGTAATTCTATTTGTTCAATTGTATCACCATTCATAATTGGTATACACCATTCAAAATTTGGTGAATATGGTTGACGATTAATTAAACGTATTGTTATAGATGCTTCATGACGAAAGTGTACAATTGGTTTACCAGGTATAATATCTTCTAAACTACTTAATGTTGTTACATCAGTATCATTACCATCAGTTAAACGAATATCAATTTGTTCAACATTAAGTGCACGTCGAAGATAATCTTGATTCAATTGTAAAATTTGATATTCATCAAATGATAAATGTTGATTTAATGATGTTATATCACGACTTTTTTCTAATATATCTTTTGAATAAATAACAAATGGCATTAATTTTTTTTGATATTTTTTATCAATTTCTGATCGATCTTTAAAATGAATTGCTAATTGTTTACTATCAGGTAATGAATTATTATTAGAAAGATATAATTTTTTTAATTCATTAATAACAAATGTTTGCCATGATGGATATGAACGTGCAACAAATATTGTTGCATGTGTTGGTGGTAATAGTGGTTGAGTTTTTGCTCCTTTTGATTTACTAGTTGTTTGTTGAGTTGTATATGTTTTAAGACGAAGACGAAAATCATGAGCAGTACTCATTAAATAATTGCATGAATCAATTAATGATTGATCGACTTTACCTATTTCAATAGAAAAAATAAAAACAATTCTTGAAATAAAAATCTAATTTCTAAAATTTACAAATAAGGCTAACATTCTTCTTGAAAAATTACATGTATGAACTTATTCGAAAATCAATAAATATCATTTTTTTGTAATTACTAAGATATAAATCTTAATAACAAAGAAATTATATCAAATAAAACAAACATATTTCTTCTCATGTAATATAATGATTGATTCATAAATAAGAATTCTATATTCAATTGAGTAGAACTTTTACAAAGTAATTTTCATTTCTCAACTATTCAATTACATATAATTCAAAACGATTATCCAATTTAAATCTATGCATTGTATTAATTTGAACATTTCGATCGTCAACGCTGACATACACATTAAGCTAAATAGTAGTATATAATAAAGACATGAAAATAGCATAGATATATAGTTTAAGAAAGACAAAAGACAAGAATCAATTCTCATAATGATGCAGACCACTGGATCCCTATATTCTGCAATATAATTTCTACATAATTCAGACCTACAGAATCTACCTGTATGGGTTCATGCTCATAGGAAGAAAATTTTAGAAGAACTATAGTCTGTATCAGACTGCTTTTTGTTTAATTCTTTTCACCGTTCAATATGTTTCTCCTTCAACATATATATGTCTAATATTGTATGTTTGATTACTTTGTTATATTCTTCAAATGTGAGCAGTATTAGAACATTTCGTCTGTTTGCATCACTGTTTTTTACACTAATCATTGTTTTTGTTTTTTTCTAATACACATAACAAACTGTTTGCGGTAAGTTACGACAGAACTGTCAAAGGCAAAGGTAACAAGTTAGAAAACTTCGTTGTTCCGCTAATCATCAATCTAACCTATCGCTATCATTTTTATCCTCGATGGTTTCACCATGATTTAAGGCAGTCGGGTGCTACTTTATAAGAAAAATGGACAATATCTAACATGAAAATGTTTAAGTTTTGGTCAAGTTGAGATAAGTCATCGTTTTTGGAATGATCAAGTACAAAAAACTATTAGTATTATTCAATGATTGATGAAATTAATATATTTTTTACATAAAGTTATTTTAAGTGCGTAGTCTTGTTCCTCTCTCGTTTTTAAAAAAATGATTCTTTTTTGTTTTTTTTGAAGAATTTCTCTTCGTTTGAGAGACATTTTTCATTTTAGCAGCAGATTCATCACATCTGTATATTATCTCTATTCGTTATATTATTATAAATAACTTTTAAGTTAGAAAAAAATCATAAGTTAATGTTTATGAAATCTGTTCTTACCAGCTGTTGGCCATTTAGCATTCATAATTGTTTTACCAGGATAAAGAAATTGATAAACATAATCACAAATATGTGGACAAACAGGTGATAATAAAATAGCTTGTACTTCAATATATCGTTTAATTAGATGTAAATTCATTTGTTCACCTTCAGAACATAAATCTCGATAATTATCACGTGCTGTTTGTAATTCAAAAAATCCATGTTTAAGAACATCTTTATATAACATTTTTTCATAACTTTCTTCTGTTAATTGAATACCACGATTTATTTCAGATTCAAATACATGATCATAATAATTATATTTCATATCTGTTCGATATTGTGTTTTTTGTTGTTGAGTAAATTCTCCATTAGTATTATCTGAACTAGATGAAAGATGTAATTTATCTTTAACCCAATGAATAACTGATGAAATAATTGTTGTATCATCTTCTGATGATTTTTTTGTATCATTTTCTTCTTCGATATCGACTAAATTAATAGCAAGTACTTCTTTAACCCATTCAATAAATGTATAAAGACGTAAAAGTTGTGCGTCAGCCATTTCTTCTTCAAAATTTGCATCTTCAATTGAATCACCAGCATCAGCTAATGTCAAACGCATACCTAATATATAAAAAGATTATTTAAATTTTTGTTTTTAAATTTAACTTCGTTAAGTACTAACGTACAGAATTCTGTACACTTTTTTTAGAGTTTTCTCAAGTTTTTGAATACTTCACGAATGTAAGAAAAATATTGAGATATGTAGTTTTGTCGGCTGATCTCCAATGTGCTATTAATTTCACTTACAATAATATGGAAAGTGAAAAAGATGCAAAATAAACGAAATTATTTTGGGTTAGAATGAGTATGAAGCTTATTATATTTTTACATGATTATAATGAACATTAACTACAAACGATATGGTAATATGAGCGACTCTTGTTTCTGTATATATGTTCCAACAGTAGGTGTATCTGATGCAAGTAGCATTCCTCAGCTGAATTTTCAAGCTTTTTGGAAGAGAACTTTAAAAATAACACTCGATTATAAAATAACTGTATTTCAGAATTAAGAGTTAATACTTGAATTTCATATTGTAGATAGAAAGAAGTCAGAGCTATATTTTGGTAAAAAGAAAAAGTCTTCATGTCTCATAAGTCAGAAGTTATTAACATTTTATGATAAAAGAAATGAAACATTTATATCACATGAACAATATTCAGAAAAAGAAGCTTATGATCAGGATTTGCTGATAACAATGGTCACTTCAATTTCGAAGTCTCTGACTATCAAACGATTAGTAGAAAACAAAAAAAAAACGAACCATCAGCAGAAAATTTTTCAATTGCTTGTACTAATGTTAAAAAGTTGCCAGTTGATTTAGACATTTTTTCTGAATTTAATAATAAATGTCCATTAGCACGGAATGCACGTGGCCATAATTCAGGATGATTAGGCCAAATAGCTGTATGATTATATAATGAATAAGTAAGATGATTTGGAATTAAATCTTTTCCACTTGAACGTAAATTAACTGGATACCAATATTGAAATTCATTACGAAGATGATCAAGTGTTGCACAAGGAATATCTGTTGTTAAAGATGAATAAGATTTTTCAGAAAAAAATATATAATCCCAAACTTCAGTTGTTAATTGAGATGGAAGAATATTTGCTGGACCTACAAAACAAAAAAAAAAGAAAAACAATCAAAAATACAAATTTCTCTTGAATAATTTTTTACCTAATTTTTCACCACTATAAGAATCTCGTGCTTGTAAAAGATGAGCTACAGTATAATAAGACATATAAATAGTTGAATCAGATAATGATTCAATTAAATATTGGTCATCCCAAGGTAATTTTGTACCAAGACCATATGAACGTGAACATGCATGTTCATGTAACCAACTTAAAACAGCTTCAAATTGATTACGTGTTTCTGTATGATAAACATTCATTTTATCTAATGAACGTTTAACTTCTTGTTTCCATTTTTCATTACCATAATCAAGAAACCATTGATCAACAAGTGCAACAACACATTCATCATTTGATCGTGATATAACTTTACCTTCTGGTTCATAATAAGAACATGCTTGTCCAGTTGTAATTAAATCATCACGAACAAGTTTTTTAGCATCAGATACTTTTGTATTTGCATATTTACCAACTACAAGTATTCCATCATAAAATGATTTTGTATAAATTTTATCTTTTGCTTCTAATAATTTATCACGATCATTTTGTGAATGAATTTTCATTTGATTACATATTGTAGGTGCTGCAAGACGACCATATGGTTCAAGTTCAATAATTTCTACTGGATCATACGGTAATACCATGGATTCTTTAATATGATATTTTTCTCGTAAATTAGGCTTTTATTTAAAAAAAACAATAACAATAATAAAAATTTTAAATTAAATAATCTATGTTTTTTTTTTCCTACCTTATTTTTAATATCCATTAAAGCAGCATAATCATCTGGTGCATCACTTGGTACTGATGTAACAACACCTGTACCTTTATCTTCTTTAATTGTCATCATAGGTAATACATAAATTGTTTCATAACGTGAAAGTGGTGGATGCAATGGTAATCCAAATAATTCTGAACCAAGAAATTCAGCTAAGACCGTATAGCGACCA